AAGTGCTTTGTATATTCACGGTGCTACGCTACTTTCAGTCGCGAGTGTTGCTGATACTTCACCCTGTTTGTAGCTGTCTTTCTTTTTTTTTTCTCACGAAGAAGGCTTTTATTTTAATAGCAAATCTTTTTTTCTGCTCAGAGATACTCAGTCGTGTCTGTCACCCTCTCCGGAGCTCCTTCGTGCTGTTAGAGGTCATTGGGACACCCACTTAACACCAGGGCCCAGGAACGTGCCGTCCTCCTGGTTCTAGCCCTGTTGGGTCAGAACATGGACGTCACAGAATTCTGGTGGGCCCTAACCACTCACGCCTCAGTCTGGCAGGGAACGCAGCCCACAGACGCACAGAACCAGTGGTTATCAGTTTTCATAAATCTTCTGGAGGGAGTTGGCTGGAGCTGGGTGGTTAAGATGATGGTCATTTTGTTTCTTAAGGGTTCGACATTGACAAACACCAGGCAAGGCTGTTTCTTATTTGTTCTGTGTTTTTCCTCGCAGTATTTTAAAGCGTTTACAAAGGACTTTACAACTGGAGAAAACTTTAAAGGTAAGGATTGTAAGCACTATATCTTGCTATCGTAGATTCACCTCAAGCCCATCAAAGTAAAAATGGCTTCGGGAGACTAGAAAACTCAGTGGCGGGCTGTCCCCACCCCTCCGTGCACGTGGGCGCGCCCTGTGCTGCCTGCCTGTCTTCCCTTGAGAGCTCGGGAGCCCAGCCTCGGCAGGCAGTTTTTATTTCGTGCTCCACCTTCCTTGGCAAATGTGGTGGTGTCAGTTCTTTTTATAAAGTAAACTTTTTTATTGAAGTACACACCTGAGGCATTTTTGTGATGAGCCCGCCTGCTAGCCAGTGCCCAGATCAGGCCCCAGAAAGTGACCAGCCAGCCCCAGGTGACGGCATTCTACGTCAGGGACTGTCCTGCCTGTTCAGAGCCTGGTGCGGGTGTTGTTGGGCATGTCTGGTCTGTCCCCGTGGCGTGCGTGCAAGATTCGTCTGCTGCCCATTTGTCCCCACATTTGTTGTCATGTCGTCTCCTACCGTGTGAGTCCACTGGCATCCGTACTGTGCACTGCTGGGCCCTGGGGCGGGACAGGTGCTCAGCGTGGTGCTCAGCGTGGCAGACACCGCCGTGGTGGTGGCGTGCTTCCCCACAGGGCCCGACAGAGAGCTGCAGACGGTGAGGCGAGCCATGATTGACTTCCTGCAGAACCACACGGACAGAAACAGGCCTCCTGCCTGCCCGGCTCTAGACCCCATTCGGTACGCAGTTCTGTAAAAAAAGTGGCACGTGTCACGGGGGATTTAATTTTGTAAAATATGGATGTGTATTAAGTGATCTGGGCACCGGTGCGTGGTGGCCAGCTCACCATTCTTGAAAGCACTAAAAGCCTCTTTTTTTATCTCCTTAAAGGCCCAGTGACGTCCTTTCTCTCATTGACCACCATGATGGTCATTACATGGCCATTTTATTTGAGAGCAACAGCTCCTATGTTGGACGTGAGGTACCGTGTCTCGTTCCCTCTAGTCTTACCACATGACGGGATTCAGTATGGGGTGGGGAGTGGATCCCTGGGCCGCTAGCGAGGCGTGCTGGTGGCTGTGTCACCCGGTGAACCCCTGGTCTACAGAGAAGGCTGTTGGAGGGTGGCGTCTCTGGGGAAGAACGGGCAGCAGGCTGGGGCACACGGCCTGTCCCTGGGTGTGGGAGCGCACAGGGGACCCGCCTACCCAAGGTCGGTCCTTACTCTCTCTGCAGTGTTGTCAAGACTTCTTCGTTATATTCTAATCTCTCAACTTTTTGCCACGTTCAAGCTTCTGTTAAACACATTTCCCTCCGAAACTGCCCTCCCGTCTTTCCACGCGTGTGGGGCTGAGGCCTCTGTCTTTGGCCAAGGCTCAGGGAGCCTGGGCGGGTAACGGGAACGCCGTGACTCCGCGCCTTCCTGGGGTCCGGAGGCAGTGCCGGCTCTCGGAGCCCGTCCCTCCTCCCTGCCGTTCGTCTCCTGCCTCTGCTCATGGTCACTGAGCTCTGGGAATGAGCGGAGGTCACAGGCTCTGGCGGGCGTGCCCATGGATGCAGCCAGGGCAAAAGGCTGCGGGTGCCAGCCATCTGAACACCGCCCCGCGCCTTCCGGGTCTGGGGGTGCGGGTTTGCTGTCTTCCCCGTGGGGGGGTCGGAGGCGACACAAGCGGCAGGACCCAGAGTTCTTGTGTGACCCTTCCCCACAGGCCCAGGCTCCCTCAGCAATGTCCCCCCCACACAGCCCTGGGCTGGGGCCGCTCCCCAGCGTGCAGGGTGTGGCCCGTGCCAGGAGGCTCTCCACAGCCGGAGCTCAGGTGTGGTCAGCTCTACTCTAGCGAAGGGGGGTCACAGTCAGCAACCGCCTGATTCAGGACATGTCCGGTTCTGCGTGTCTCCAGTAGATGGCAGGCAGATGGCGAGGCACGTGGGGTTTGCATGTCACCTTTTCACACGTTCTCGCTCCTAAAATGCCACTCCTGGGCTCCCTCTACCGCCGTGACCCTGTCTCTGCACCTTCGGCCTGTGCAGACCGGCCAGGGGCAGGTCCTGCAGGAGGGAACGGCCAGCCCAGAGCCTGCTGGCGCTCCAGGTGGCTGACCAGGGCCACGTTGCTGTCCTGGCCTGCCACGGCCTCCCAGGCACAGGACATGCTGTGTGGTACAGGGCCACGTGCACCAGGGAAAATTGAGGGCTGGCGGTGTGGCCCCGTGTGTGTGCTGGGTGGCGCATGGCCCTGTGTGACGCGTGTCGTTTGTGGAGATCGGGCTGCAGACGGTCTGGTACGAGTCCACGGCGAGCGTCTCCCGGGCAGTCTGTAAGGTGTCCCGTCGCGTTCGGTTGCGTTCACGTGCGTCCTGGTCACAGGAGACGTAGTGAGTTTATTCCGAGCGACACGGCTCCCAGTGTCCCCATGCAGCCTGCTCCCATCGGGTGGCGCTGCGTGCAGAGAAGGCGACGCGTTCTCCTCACCCAGGTGATCTTGGACCTGATCCCCTACGAGAACGTCGTGGTGAAAAGAGCACTGGACGCGGACGCAGCTTTTCTGGAGAAACTGGGCGTTTCTTCCGTTCCTTCGTGTTACCTGATTTACCCAAACGGGTCGCACGGACTAATTGATGTGTAAGTGTGGTGTGGCTCAGGGCTGTTTGTGACCGTGGTTTGGGGGTGTTGACAGCCCTCCAGGGTGGGGGTGGGCTCTGGGCCGAGACGGCCCATCTGGGTCAGTGGAGCGAGTGTCCCGCCCTCTCTCCAGAACGAGCCATGGGCACAGGCCCCAGTCCCCTTATGCTCTGCTCCTTGCTGAGAGCAGCGAACCATCAGAACATCGTTTCCTGGGCGCCCTAAGCCAAGCTCTGCAAGGGTAGTGGGTGAGAGGTTATGCCGGCGCCCAGCCTCCTGGGGGCAGGGGGAGGACGCCTGCCCTGCCCCGGGCTGAGCAGGAAGGCCGCCCGTGCCAGGCTTACAGCCAGGCGCTGCCCTTCACACAGCTTCCCTGGCCACTTCCGTTTGGTTTCGAGCAGCGTGTTTTATGTGAAAAGTCATCTGCACGGTGTAGCATGGAACAACACCGATGTTCAAACCTGGACGCTCTCATGAGCCCTGAGCTGCAGTGGAAGTGCAGGGTGGTGGCCTGTGCGCGTGCTCGGGGCACACGCAGCCCTGCCCACCTGAGGGGCCACACGTGGCGCTCAGGAGCCCCCTACCCCGACCAGTTTCCACTCGCCCCACCTAGAGCTGGCCCATTGTGGCTGAAGCCTCTCAGGCTGTTGAAAACAGTCTGAAGAAAGCTGACGTTGGCAGATGCCCAACCCGCTTTGCACTGCTTGCTGTCCCCACAGAGCCAGAGTCGCTACAGGGCCGGTCACAGCCGGAGCTCGGTGCCTGAGGGCTTGCCTCATGTCCACCAGAAACGCGACTGGGTTGGGGGCCGGTCTCAGCCTGGTGACACAGGGCGGCCGGGGCTCGGACTCCGGCAGAGGTGGCCGGGCCCGAGCGCCGGCTCAGCCCTCGCCCTGCCCGCCCTCTCTCGCAGCGCGAAGCCTCTCCGATCGTTTTTTTCCTCTTATTTGAAGTCGTTGCCGGATGTGAGGAAAAAATCGCTTTCGTTGCCTGTGAAGCCGCACGAAGAAGAAAATTCTGAAGTCGTGGCCTGGAGAGAATTTGACAGGCAAGTGTCCCTTTCGGACGCACGCTGTCCAGGCAGTGACACGTGCGGGGCAGGCACCGTGAGCACGGCTGCGGGAGGGCTTGGCTCGGCCGCAGGGTCGGCCCACAGAGAACCCGCTGTAGGCCGTGAGCACTGTCCGCATCCCCTGCGGGGTGGGTCCCTCGGGTGGGAGCAAGAAAGGGGGACTCAGGAAAGAGGCCATTTTCACCTGACTGGACGCGTCATCGCAGGTGGAAGCTGTACACGGCGGACCTGGAGTCGGGGCTGCACTACCTCCTGAGGGTGGAGCTGGCCGCCCACAGGTCCCTGGCCGGGGCCGAGCTGAAAACACTGAAGGATTTTGTCACTGTCCTTGCCAAGGTCTGCTGTGGGGGGGCTTGGCCGCGGAGTGGGTGCCCAGGCCCCGGGGCTCCACAGCTCTGGGGTCGGGCTGACCTGAGCTCGATGGCTGCTCCCGTGCGCCTGCACTCCGCTGGTGCAGGCCGGTGCCCGCCGTGCCTGGCCCTGTCCTGGGCTCTGGGGACGGGGCTGCACATACTGAGCCTGGAGAGGGCGCTGGGCGGAGGGGCCGGGTTGGGCGCGTTGTCCTGGGCGCTGGGGACGGGGCTGCACACACTGAGCCTGGAGAGGGCGCTGGGCAGAGGGGCCGGGTTGGGCGCAGCCGGGAGGGCGGGGTCTGTGCAGGGGTTGCAGGTGGTGACCTCAGGGCCCTTGCCCAGGCCGAGGTGGGTGTGAGTGGGAACGGGGCGGTTCTGCCGCTGTCTGGCGGAGAAACTGGCAGGCTGGGCAATGGAGTGTGGGCAGTGGGAGGAGAGCTGCAGGTCACAGCTCCCTCGGGGTGCAGCTGCGGCCGCCAGCGCCGTCCAGGGCCTTTTTGTGTGGACGGGCCTGGGCGGTGGGCTGGCCGGCGCGGCACCTTTAGTAGGGGGCGGGGTGGGTGGGTGGCTCCGGTGTTGGCCGACGTTCAGTTCCTGCCGAGAACTCTTAGTTCCGGGGCCGAAAACCAGGGCTCAGGGATGGGAGGTGCGGTCTTCCTGGCGCGGGCCTCTTCCGCGGGGGGCAGAGCGGCGGGCTGCGGCCTCTCTACCCTCTGACCTCTGGGCCTGGGAGCAGGGAGGGCCCTCTGCCCCGCTGCTGGCCTCGCAGCCACCAGACAGCTCCCTTGGGGGAGCAGCAATGCACTCTGAATTTCTTGTTATCATCACGCAGTGAGGAGGCTCAGTTAGTTTTAAGAGGTTTTTCTTGCCCGGTGCAAGGTCTCTAGCATGGTGGTCAGTCAGTGCTTTGCACAGGCCGAGTTTACGAAGTCTGATTTTTGAGAAAAAATGGAGGTAGAATTTATGTGTGATGGAGCAGCGAGCCGCCTAATGTGCTTTAAGGAGCTGCAGGAAGCCGGCCGGGCCCGTACGCCGCCCTGCGTTCGGAACGCAGACGCCTCCGTCTGTCCTCCCTGCCTTTGAGGCACGGCCCGCTGCCCGGCTCGGGGGCGAGTACGCCCCACCGCGCTCACGCTCCTCCCTCCTCCTTTCACAGGGGCGTCAGCTCTGTGAGGCCAGGTGGCCTCTTAATCGTTTTCCTGAAGTTTCCTTAAACTCTAAATGTTGGTGAATGGGTAACGGAGCTGGGGAGGCTGCGTAGAAACAAAAGGTTTTACGAGCTGACAGTGGTGTCCCTGCTGCTGGCGCCTCCTTGTCAGGTTGAGCTCAGGTTTCGGTGGCTTTGTCGGCAGCCTGCGTTCTGCACATCTCGGGTGACAGCCATGTGCAGCGGCCACAGTGCCGCTGGGCTCGACAATGCTCTAGGCCAGGGCGCACGGCTCGAGCGCTGACATCTAGTGAGCCAGCAGGGGGCGTTGCCTAGCAGCCGGGTGGCCCTGCACGCCTTCCCCAGCAGTCACCCGGGCAGACGGCAGGGTGGCAGAAGGGTCACATCACAGGCAGGCGGGGTTGCCATGCACTGTCTGGAGGAAGGGCCGCAGGGTCATGAGGCACACGCGGCCATGTCATCTGCTGTTGTGCAGGGGACCGTGACGTGAATGGTACTGGGCGGGCAGCATGAGGGAAGGCATGGGCTGCCCGGGAAGGCACTGGCCACAGCCCACCCGCCCGCACCTCGGGCCCCGCCTCGTGTCGGGAGGAGCCGTGTGTCTTCGGGAGACCCCCCGCCTAGTTCCGGGTCAGAGCCCTGGGCTGGTCGGGCGCATTTCCCCAGCGGGTCTGTTGGGCGGGTGCGCGTCCCCCTGTCTGGGTGGGGGACATGTTCTGGACAGGCTCTGACCGGGGTCCTCCCTCACTCAGCTGCTGCCCAGCCGGCCGCCGGTCCGGAAGCTTCTGGAGACGCTGCGGGAGTGGCTGGCCAGCCTGCCCCTGGACAGGATCCCCTACCGTGCAGTGCTCGACCTGGTCAACAACAAAATGCGGGTGAGCCCAGCCCCCCCAGAGCTCGAGGCGCGTCCCCTTCCGGCTGTCCTAGTCTTCTGTGTCTGACCTGCACAGGGGACCCTGACTCGGCAGGTGGGGGGGACAGGAAGCTGCCCGTGCATGTGGCCCGTCACGCACACACCTTCACGCCCATGACACAGGCCCCGCCTTGTGTCCCTTCGCAGTTTTTACTGTCCCTATTCCATGCGACTTTTATGTCCCCTGGTGCCGTCAGCCTTGTGCGGAGTCCTCCGTTGAAGGACAGTTCACAAGGAACATGTATGACAACCTGCCCTACGCAGGTAGGCACGGTTCTCAAGCAGCGTGGGACCAGGCTTTTTTTTTTTTTTTTTTTTATAATGAAACTTTGAGTAAACGCATCTCAGTTGTACACCTAAAAATAGATAACAATGACGTGTTCAGTCAAGTGTGCAGAAGCCAGTGAGGGTCCCCGAGCCCCTGCGTCTGCCCAGGAGCTTTGTGACGTGGCCAGCCCAGGACCATCCTTGCTGGGGTGTGGCCATGAGCCTGTCGGGAGTGCTGACGAGTTTTGACAAATGTCCCCCTGTGTAACCACTGCCCAGTCGTTTGGGACGTTTACCAACTACTTTTATTTCTAGTGACTTGATTACCTTTTATCGTTCTTTCCTTTTTCTCTGCAGATTTCTGGAATATTCCTTACCAGTCACATCAAGTGGATTGGCTGTCAAGGAAGCCGCCCGGAGTTGAGGGGTTACACGTGTTCCCTCTGGCAGCTGTTCCACATTTTGACCGTTGAAGCCGGGATGCACCCGGAAGCGCTGGCTGACACAGGTAAATGTCCCTGTCGTGGCGCCCACCGGGTGCCATCAGATGCCTGGCGGCAGCTCCTTTTGCTGTGTGTGAGGCAGCGTGTCCTCGGTGCCCCTGGGGTCCCCTGCCGAGCGGGGAAGGCGAGGTCTTGTCCACGTCGCCCGGTCCCCGCATGGCCCTGGCGCTGGAGCTGCGTCCCTGTCCTCCCGGCTCGGGACGTGTGACCTGCAGGAGCTTGGGCGCAGAGGGACACAAGTGGGTGCTGCCGGAGGCCCGTGGGCAGGTGCGCGGCTCCCCCCTGGGTGCCAGCGGGCTTCCCTGAGTCGCTGATGCGGTATTTGTGGGTCGGGGGGCCGGTGCGGCCGAGCCATCCCCTGTTCCAGCAGTCGGCCAGGATGGGGGTCTCGCCCGAAGTCACAACTAGGAAAGACCCCCGAGCTCAGTCCGGTGGTGGCAGGAGTCAGGTCCTTGCTGGCTGTTGCTCAGCGTGTGTCCCGTCCTTAGCTCAAGTCACAACAGCTGGTTTAGGGCGCCCTTCTTGGTGTGACGTTCCTCCTCTGTGGCACGTTCTGGTCATTAGAAGTGAACCATGGGCCCGGGGAGGGCGTGACGCAGATGCAAGTGTGGCCGGCAGGACTGCGGCCACCTCAGAGGCTGCCTGCCCTGACAGCTTACAGCTGCGCAGCTGAGGTTTGGGAAATGCCGGCTCAGAGCCGTCCTGTGTCACGTCCTGCACATGACACGAGGACGCGTGCCGGGGCCTGCCCACGGTGGACGTGTCGCGTGCGCGCCTCCCGGCCTCAGCGGGTCCCCGGCCGGCATGGGTAGTTGCTTGTGCTTAGTTGTTTCTCAATCATTCGTGTTCACTAACGCTTATGTTACGTCCCCAGGGGGATTTTTGACTCGCAGTCTAGCGTTTTTTTTCCGGTGAAACTGTAAGGTTCTCTAGCGGTTCTTTCACTGCTACCAAACTAACCCAAAGGCCCGTGGCTCAAAACGGCTGTCGTGGTCTTTGCTTTCGAGGCCGGGGCCGGCAGCGTGGGGCCGGCAGCTCTTCTGCGGGGCCCGCATGTGCGCCGTGGGTGCGGCCGGTGCTCCAGACCCAGCAGGTCCAAGGCCGCAAGCGGCAACTCTGCAGAGCGGCTCGCTCAGGAAGGGGCGCTCAGGGCCTGGGCCGTGGTCACCTCCAGTCCCTCAGATGGGTCTCGTGCAGCCCAGAGGTGAGGCGGGGAGGTAGAGCCCACCTGTGCTGGGGGTGCAGCAAGTCACGTCGCAGAGGGGCGTGTGGCCATCTCCCAAAGTCTTTACCACCCGCTGCCCTCCAGGCGACGTTGGATTTCTCCTTGTGGTGGCAGCGGGCTGGGGGAGCAGCTGGACTTTCAAACCGCACATGCTTCGGGGAGCCACACGGAAAGCGCAGCAGGCTCTCCAGGAGAATCCGCAAGGCCCCCACAGCAGGGGTCAGAGCCGCGCCTCCGCCTGCCCGAGTGCCAGCTGGCCGGTCGCCACGTCTGAGCCCAGGGTGGGGACCCCGCATTTCCTGTGGGGAGTCCTGCCGAGGGAGGAAGAGCAGTGGAGGGCGGTGTGGTGACAGCCAGGGCCGGGGTCGTCTCCAGACACGCAGACACGCGTCCTGAGGTCGCGGGGGCCGCACGGCAGACAGCACGCCCGGCCCAGCGCCCCGGCCCGCGTCGGCGGGAACGCAGAGCAGCAGCAGCGCGTCTCGCGCCGGGAACTGGGTCAGACGGAGGCGTCGGATTAGGTCTTGGAAGGTTCTGTTCTTCTTGCTGCGTGTTTAAACCCCATCGACTAAAAGCCTGCGAGTCCCCTAATCCCCCCAGGTGGAGGCGCACGGGCCTCGTCCACTTTAAAGATTAGGGCGGCCGAGTGTGCCGCGCCGTGCCGGGAGCGGGGAGCAGGGAGGAGGATTACGCGGCTGCGCGGCAGATGTCCCCCGCTGCCGTGGCACAGAGGGCGGGCCCGGGCCCGGGCCCAGCCGGCAGCCCGTCCCGGTGCGCGTGGGTCGGTCACACCGGGCGCCACCTGGCCGCTCCCAGAAGCACTCGGCCCAGGAGGCAGCCGGTCGGCTCGGATTGCGACAACAGGAAATGAGTGGACTCCCCGGGCTGCTGACGGACGCAGAATGTCCATCAGGCTCTGACTCAAGGGCCTGTGACTGTCCCCTTTGCGAGTAGAACCGAGACCGGCTGAGGACCGCAGCAGCACGTGAAGAAAGGGGCTGCTCTCCAGGGCCTGCTGTCGATGAGGCAGATTCAGTCACAGAAGCTGCCTCCGGGCCCCCTGCTTATCTCCTTCGTGTCTCTTCACGCTGACGTTTGATCTGTGTTAATCTCACGCGTCTCTCGTTTGCACCCTCGCTCCCCTGGGTCAGGCGTCTGAGCAGCCGTGGGGCTGGCCCTGGCGGCTCCCCCAGTTTGCTCAGGGTCCCTAATTAGCACGCTGCCCATAGCTGGAAGAGTCCGCTTCCTGAAACCTCGGTCCTCGCCGGCCACCGTGGCCCGTCTGTGGCTGCAGATGCTGGAGAATGCCTCCCACAGAAGCGGTCTGCCTTCAGCAAAAGGGTCCTTCCAGCCTGTCGCCCTCCATCCCCAGGAGCCCTGGCCCCCTCGGGGAGGGTCACGTTGGGGGAGGCTGGCGGCAAGCCGCAGGCCACGTTCACGCTTGGGCCTGCAGGCTCGGAACGGCCGTTGCCCGTCCCACCTCGGGGTTCCGTGAGGAGAGAAAGAGTACCCACGGGACAGGAGGTGGACCCTGGCCCGTCCTGGTCCTCTGGTCATGAGGCCTGGTCTGAGGGTGCAGCTCGTCCTCCTGGGTACCGTGTGTCCTGGGGCACGCCCCACAGCTCGACACGGGGCCGTGTTCTGGGCGTGCACGCTCTGCAGCGTCACTGCAGCCAGCAGCACTGCTTGTGGCAGTAGGTGTCTGGGAAGGTGCCGTGTCCTCCCGTGTCTGCAGACGTGTGAGCCTGTCTCTTATCCGTGTCAGGCGCTCAGCCCGTTCCTGGCTACGGATGGCTCCCCGAGCCCTGTGGCTCCGGCGCCCGCAGCCTGGCTCACGCTGGCGGCCTGTTGTGTGGCGCCAGCACTGCCCGTTCCCCCGCAGGGTTGGGAGACGCGCCGCAGGCCGTGTTGCAGGCCATCCGGGGCTACGTCCGCACCTTCTTCGGGTGTCGGGAGTGCGGCGAGCACTTCGAGGAGATGGCCAGAGAGTCCATGGCCGCCGTGGAGACCCCGGACCAGGCCGTGCTCTGGCTCTGGAGGAAGCACAACCTGGTGAACAGCCGCCTGGCAGGTGAGCAGGCGCCGCGCCGGGCAGGAGGCTGTGGGTGGGGGGGACAGCACCCCCACGGGCGTGGTGACAGCCTGAGCTTGGTGCCACCTGCCTGCCCACGTGTGCCAGGCTTCCTGTCCTCATGGCCCCCGGGGGGCTGGCACGGCGGCTTTGCCCGGGAGCTGCCACAGTCATCAGCCACGCCTGGGCCTGAGCGTCCCTGCTGTCCAGGTTGCTCACTCACCTCAGGGCCTTGGGGAAACCGATGTCATCCTTATGCCCGTGGGTGGCCCACTGGGTCCCCGGGAAGTCTGCAGTAGAAGACTTAGAATATAATTAATTTTCAGTAAGGAATTTTAGTGTCTTTAAAATTTGTTCTCAGACTATAAACCAGACTCCTCAAAATGGTTTTGTTTGAAACAGCTAAGTAGGGCGCATATATTTTCTCAGAGTTAAATAATTCAAACTGTTCCTAAATCAGCGGCAGATTAAAATTAGGCTTAAGAATAATTCCACTGAGAAATAATTCTTAATAGAGATGAATAGAAAATGCCACTGAACTATTGGTTTTTACTTAATCCACTGTATTATAGAAACATATTACAACTAAAGCACTAAAGAAAATTGGTTTTTCTTTGCCCTCAGAGCTGACTGCTGTGGCTGCCATCACGTGGCCACGGCCCCTTTTGTGTTTGCGGGATTTGTCGGCCGCTGTCAGCTGCAGGCCAGGGCACCCCCCATGGCCCCGCGTGTGGTGTGGTTGCGGGCATTGCGGGCATCACACCCCTCCCTCCCTCTGTGCCCTCGCCATGCTCCTGCCTGACGGCCATGAAGGCGCCAGACGCCACCCCGGCCAGGCTTGACCCAGCCCCGGAGCCCCGGAGCCCCGCATCATTGCCCTGTTGCAGAAAGGGGCTGTCCACAGCCATGTAGCCGCGGCGCTCCTGGGCCCCGCAGTAACCCCCAGCCCTGCCTCCTTGGAGGCCCCGGAGACCTGACCTGGACCTCCCCGTCTCTGTGGTGTCTCTAGGGGCGTTGGCAGCTCCGTATTTGTCCCCACGCGTGTACACGATGCTCCCATGTGACACCCCGGGAGGGCGGTTTCCTGGCCCCCCTTGGTCTCTTCACGCATAGCACTCACCTGTGGGAAGGTCCCCCTGCCACTGTGAGAACTGCTGTGGCACATTTATGTCCGTCGCATAGAGGCTGAGGGATACATCCCGTTAACACTATGTGTAGCATTTGATTTTGTAAAAAGACATTTACCACGTCAAAGAGGTTGGGAAGGACCCTTATCATGGGGGCCACCTCTGGGACAGGCAAGGGCACGTGGTGGTCCTTAGTCTTGCCCACGGGGACGGGGCTCACGCCCAGAACACAGCCTGGAGGTCCCCGAGGGCATGTGGGGTCCAGCAGCAGCCCTAGAGAGCTGTGCAGACACTGGGCGCTCTGTGGCTTTGTGTGGGCCACGGGGGAGGGACTCACACAGGTGGGGGCTTGCCGAGCAGGGGCCTCGGTGGGAAGTGCAGAGGGAAACCTCGGCACGGCCCGTTTGGGACACGGTCACCGGGCAGATTGGGGCGGCTTTGGCCATGTGAGTGGCGGCGTCTGGGTGTGGACATGGGGACCTGCCACAGGATGTCAGGGAAGAAAGGACATCACACGGGGGCTGCAGGGACGTGGCTGCAGCCTGTGCGGGGAGGCGGGAGCAGGGCGTCGTCTGGAGCCCGTGGGGGTGGGGAGGGCAGGCAGGGGGCTGGCAGGACGTGGGGGGGGGGCGGGGGTCGTGGGTGGGTGTCAGGTCTCAGGAGGCCTCTCCATGGTCGCTCCCTCTTCCTCCCAGGCCAACTGAGTGAGGACCCCAAGTTCCCAAAGGTTCCGTGGCCCACTCCGGACCTCTGCCCGGCCTGCCACGAGGAGACGAACGGCCTGGACAGCTGGGACGAGGGCCAAGTGCTCCTGTTCCTGAGGCGGCACTACTGCGCGGGCAACCTCGTGCACACGGGTGCCGCCGCCCTGGCCCCGGAGCGGGCGGGGGGCCGCGCTTCCCCCGAGAGGCCAGGGGGCCAGGGGGCCGGGAGTCTCCGCCCACCCAGCGCCCTGCCCCCCAGAGCTCGCCTGTCAGACGAGTTGCACCTGGGACTGGACAGGGAGGCGGCCGGGACCTTCCTGGGGATGGGCTTCTCCAGCCTGGACATGAGCCTCTGCGTCGTGCTCTATGTGGCCTCGTCCCTGTTTCTGATGGTCATGTTCTTCTTCTTCCGGGTCCGGTCCAGGCGGTGGAAAGTGCGACATCACCACCCGTCCGTGTAGAGCGAGCGGTGGCCTCTGGAAGCAGCCCCGCCCGCAGCCTTATGGACTGACCGGCGCTCCCTCCCACCCGCTCGCCGTCCAATGGCGGCTCTGGGGTCTGGGTGGGCGTGCGGGGGCACCGCGCTCTCCCGGGGTGCTCAGTGGACCCCTTCACAGCCCTGCCGCAGGGTGGCGGTGTCCGCTCCAAGTCTGACAGTGGCAGTGGGGAGTCCAGGCCAAGTAAACAGTGTTTTGTGCCCACTTTGACCTCGAGTTTACAAGGCCCTGTTTCGAGATTTGGAGAAAAACCCGCCCCCTGCCTCCCCGCACCGGGAGGCCCAGCCGACGAGGACCAGAGGACCAGCTGCTCTGCGGCCTTTCTCAGTGATCCGTTTGTGATTTGTGGCAGCTCTGGACCAGAGGGGAGGAGCCCTCTCAGCCGTCCCCACGTCCCCACCCCCACCGGGCTAGCCACGGGCTTGTGGCTTTGCCGCATTTCAGGAACTAACCCCAGAGGCTGGGTGGAGCTTACTTGGTGGTTGGAAGAGACTGGCTGGTGGCCCGTCTTATTCTTCAGGGACAGTGCCTTTGCTTGTTTATCTGATGACAAGAGACAGTGTGAACAGGGGCCACCCCCTTTGCCTGTCCTCCCAGGGAGGGGCGGGGGTGAGGAGTGGGCCGAGTCCCAGCGGGCATCTGAAGGATCCTGCCCCCGCTTGTAGGTCCCTCTGGGGAGTGGTGGATGCCTGAGGCCGGCTCCATTCACCCGGAAGCTGCTTTCTGAGGGGCCCCGGCAAGGCCCACCCTCCTTGGGCACTCGTATACCCCAAAACATTTAGAGGTGACGAAGATGTATACAGACTACCTGGACGTTTCCATCGAGATTTTCGTGGCTCCCGCTTCACCGGGCAAGCTCAGAGGCAGCTGTGTGCGCATGTCACTGTGCCGGAGGAAGCCGCTTCACGCTGCCGGCTTCACGCATTCTCGCCCACGAAGGCCACCGTAACGCTGACGTCACTGTCGCCACTTGGGGAAAAGGGACACCTGACGGCTGGAACAACTGTCGTTAGCTTGGCTGTCCCTGGGAGGGGAGGGGGCGGGGGCAGGCGGGGAGCTTCTGTCACCAGAGGTTTCTTGTTTGACCGTTTTTAACCTTTAGAGACCTGTCTTAAAGCCGAGCCCGTCTTCACAGCTAGTTACGTGCCCGGGTCACTGAACACAGCACATGTTTCGTTTTAGCTTGAAGGTGGGCAGATGCACACAGGTCCCAGGGAAACACGTAGACCCTTTCGCTAAACTGCCCTTCGGCTGGTGTTGGGCGGCGTGTCTCCCCTAAGCTTTCTAAGTGGCGTGGTCGGGGACGATGTTGCCGTGTGCCACCCTGCATCGTGACCTTTACGAAACCTGTTTCAAAGGCAGCGTCGGCTCTTCGAGTTCACAGTGTTGCAGATTTTAGTCACCACCACTTGAGAGACATGTCTAGACATCCGGAGAGTCAGGATTTTAGCAGGCCGTTAACGGTCAAGGACAGGTGGTGTGCGGGGGGACGTGCATCTCGCACGCAGGTGTGAGCAGTCCCACACACCTCACGTGGTCTGCTCAGGACTGGACGCTGTCATTAGGCTTCAGGCCTGCTGTCTAAAGTTGTAAGAATTCAGGCAATGAATATGGTAGTTCGGTAATTTAAATGTATTTATTTTTAATGGAAGAATTTTGTTTAAAAAGAAACTAATTGACGTGGAAATGTCAGTGAAATTTCTTACCTGCAAGGGAAGGGAACATTTTGTATTTAAGTAAACTATAATGTGCACATTTTAAATAAAGAAATGACATTTGAAAAAAATTGTGACTTTTTAGAAGTGTGAACCAGCTCTGCAGACATAAGGTTGTCGGGCAGGCTGCAGGCAGAGCTTCCTGTCTCCTGGGGTTTGGGGACTGGACACCTGAAGCTCCAGAATTTCTCATACCGAGCCAGAGGCTTTAGGAAGACAGCCCCAGGGTCAGGCAGAAAGTGAAAGGTGGAATTAGTTAAATTATAAATGATCTTGGGGCTGATCCACACTGAGACGGTTCACACAGCACGTCAGTGGCACATGGGTAGTGACACGCAGGTGGCCAGAGGTGCCCCTGCTTCAGGACACCTCGGCACCCCCCTGCAAAGGGAGCCCCAGCCCACCCAGTTCTGGACATCGGCTTTCTGAGATGGCGCCTCTGCCACCAGGCCTGAGCGCCCCGGCCTTGTGAGGCCGCGTACCCGGGCCTTGCCCAACACCTGTTTGCTGCCTCAGGTTCTGGACCGGTTTAGTTCCTTCTCCCGCCCACCCCACCTTGTTTTGCGGGGGTCTCCAGTAGCCTTACGCATGGCCTCACAGGGAGACCTGGCTGCGGGTTCTGTGGATTCACCTCCCCAGCCAGGCTGTGCAGAGGCTGGTAGGTGGCCCCCTCTCGGGCCTTGTCCAAGGTCCTCCCCAAGAGGGCATGGACAGCCCCTGGTGTGCCAGCTGTCAGTGGCCAGGCAGCACACAGAGTGACCACTGGGCACCCAGGCCACTAGTCTGGGTCCGTGAGGTGCTGTTGTGGGTGTAGACTCAGCAACGGTGACCCTTGTTACAGGCCCCAGGTCCTGCAGCTCAGGTCCCTTGAGTCCCTTGAGTCCTGAGTCGGTTCTGTTGGGGCCACCCTAAGTGCCCTTCCCCCAGGCTGCCCTTGGGGGAGCGGGGGTGGGGTGTGGCCTGAAACCCGGGAAGCCGAGAGCTGGGGAGGTTGTGAGTGCGGGAAAGCCTCAGGCCAGCCGCAGCAGTTGAAGGTCTCTGAGCCACACCTGGAGCCAGGGCCTGTCTGGGGACCTGGGCTGGAGCCAACAAGGCTGGAGGGGCCACCCTACCTGGCAGCCCGACGTTGCCCTCCGGAAGGCTGCAAGCAGCAGCAGCAAGGTGGAGCACCCGCTTGCCACGAATCCCCTTGCCTTGGGGTGGCCTGGAGCTCAGGGCGGAGCTGCGCTCCTGCCTGGGAGGTGGGGAGGTCGGCCGAGGGACACAGGACCTGGGGAGGTGGGAGGCGAGGAGGCGGGTCAGGGAACAGTGGGGCGGGGCGGGGGCCGGGACCTGGGGAGGGGGG